CGTTCCGGGATCGAAGTGGGCTTAATAGTCGGCGACTACTGTACTAACTTTCTACCAGCAATCTGGCCATCTTGTCATTGGCTCGGCTTACTACCCCTGCTTTCTCAAAGGCAAACGTGTGATTCTTCCGATGTACGTCGTCATAGACCATAGACAGCTTATCGTTGGGAGGGATTGTCCGTTGATTCTCATGCAATCTTGTGCCAAGGCGTCTGCCCGTTTCATCCAAACTGAATCTACCCTTCTTTTCCTGATGAAAGCAATATTATATCTGGACCACGAATAGTTCCGCATATTAGAATATGCTATTCCTCCCTCCTGGCGTCCCACTTCTTTCCTTTTAACATAAGAACCGGGCCTAAAGATCGCAGCGGCAAGGGTTTTATCTACTAACTTAAGCCACTGCGATAGGTCGACCGGAATTTCTGAACAGTCATGCTTGGAGAAACACAACTGACATTTTTGCAGGCAATGTGATCTTAATGTTAACGCTAAAACAGCTGCCGGAAACTACGCCGTCTGCTACTACTGCTGTTCAAGCCTTGGGACTATTAAATTAATGTTCAAACGCCAAACCCAAGCTGCCTACCGAACTAGTGTGCCGACCAAATTAAGACCAAAATCGATGACTTTCCAGGTACGGCGCATGGCAATAGTAAATCGCCAAGTTGGGGGCGAATTAATTGGAGCAGAGAGTACAAGTAGTCGATGCCGAGCTCCAGGAGGCGTGCCTAGCCTTGGCGATTTAAAGGCATGAGAAGGACCCATGAGCTGGAGGCATTAAAGTTTGCACAAAGATAGACTTAACTGTCGTCACGCCTCACTTACCAGGCGTCCTTTTAACTTCGTTAAAAAGAAATATGCACTTGAGGTGTGAAACCCTGGTTGACACTTTAGGTGCATCGAGTGCTCTGGAATGCTATCTCGCATTGCAGTTATTGGGAGCCTAGATCACACATTTTCCAAGATCATATTGGAGTGCGAGCAGCAACCGCCTTTCCCGCGTTGCTTTAACTGCTGAATACAACACAATCTAATTAGCGCTGCACCGCCTTAAAGAAACTGAACCAATAGCCACTGTCAACGCTACAATGGTAGCGCACACAAAATGCAACCAATGAGAAGCGGGCAGCTG